TAGACCTGGAGAGTCTAGACCTGGAGAGTCTTTGCCCTGGAGAGTCTGGGGCCTGGAGAGTCTGGGTCCTGGAGAGTCTGGGTCCTGGAGAGTCTGGGTCCTGGAGAGTCTGGGTCCTGGAGAGTCTGGGTCCTGGAGAGTCTTTGCCCTGGAAGGTCTGGGTCCTGGAGAGTCTGGGTCCTGGAGAGTCTGGGTCCTGGAGAGTCTAGACCTGGAGAGTCTGGGTCCTGGAGAGTCTTTTTCCTGGAGAATCCTGGGCCCTGCGAGACTCCAACAGAGTGTTGGGTGAGAAGAGCGTGTTGACACGCCTGGTGTGGGCTCTCCTGCGTGTCTTTTACCAGGAAACTGCTTCTCATTATCTGCCAGCCAACAGTTCAGTCAGGTCTTCCTTCAATAGTGTTGAAAATAAATGATCTGAAACCATCCAAGTTTCAAATTCGGTTCCTGGTCTGAGAGTCACTCATTTTCTCAATGTGTAGGAACGTACTAGAAGGAACGAGAGAAGAATTAAGCACATAACAGTGCCTCTGGCCTCTGACTCTCTCCCCAGATGCACCACCATTTTGTACACTTAACTGAGAGGTGAGAAAGGTTGAAGTGTGTCGATTTCAGGATGACCTGGACACTACAATGTTTTAGATTGAAAAGATCATATGCACCTCGGTCCTGTGCAGTGTGTGTCTATGTATGTGTGTGTGCACATGCATACGTGGGTGTGGCCTGTGTGTGTGCATGTATGTGTGTACTGTGCATGCATGTGGGTGTGCGTCGTGTGTACACACCTGTGTGCACTGTTTATGTTTGTGCATGTGTATTTGAGGGTGTTTTGTGTGCATGTATGTGTGTACTGTGCATGCATGTGGGTGTGCGTCGTGTGTACACACCTGTGTGCACTGTGTATGTGTGTGCATGTGTACATGAGGGTGTTGTGTGTCATATATGTGCTTTGTGTACACAGCGTGTGCATCTTGTGTATGTGTGTAACGTGCATGTTATGTGTGTTGTGTGTGGTATGTGTGCTGTGTATGTGTGCTGTGTGTGTCATGTTGTGTGTAGTGTGTGTGTGTTTCCTTCGTTAAGGAAAATGTCAAGTCCATCATCAGCTTTACTCATTTTAAAATCCACTTGAATCAATGCGTCCTCATTCATTTCAGGACAGCCCCTCACTGGAGAGACGAGCAGTGAGTCTGGTGGACACAAGGTGGTCTGTGGCCGGCCAGTGGGATTTCCTGCTCCAGCATCCTCCTCAGGGTCCCGTAGCCTCCTGTCCCCCGGGCTCTAAGCAGTGTCGCGGTCTTAGGGAGAGTTAGTGAATGGAGTGGCAGTTGTCATCACTGAGACTGTCACTTCAGGACATATCTGGATTCGCAGGTAATGAGCACATGACACAGGCACCCCAAAATTTAACTTCATAGAACCCTCTAAAGTAAAGGGTGCTTTTAAGATTCATATGGCCTTTATTTAAAATGGCTTTCAGTCAAACTCTCTAGCACAAGCACCAAGGTTGGGAGAGCTCTGCTGAGCACTGACAGACCTGTTGCGAGGTTGCACGAGGGGGTTCTGGGTGGGCTTCGCTCCCCATGCCAGTCACAGAGGGCACCCCGGCTGCGCCCCTCCACCAGTGTGTGTGAAGCCCTGGCATCAGGTCTGACAGGGCCTCCCTGAACATGCTGGCAGCAGTGGGCAGAAGGGCAGGTGAGGAACCACAGACGCTCTGTCTTGCCCCTGGGTCCAGAGCAGGACGCTTGCATCCCTGGGGAGCCGGGAGGAGGTGCCCTCTGGCCCTGCTGCGTCTTGCCAGGATCCCCCCTGCTTGGGCCGGCCTGCAGGGCGGCTGGCCCGTGAGGGGAGGGCAGGGGTTTCAAGGCCAGGCAGAGTCCTCCAAGAGCAGAGGTCCAGGCTCTCTGTGGACATTTCATGGGACAAGGAATTCCAGTGGCCGGGAGCCACTCTCTATGATCCAGCTTCTTAATGGGGGTTGGTTCAGGTGCAAAACCAAGCTCCACTGAAACCAGACCATGACCCCAGCACAGACCTGGTGCTTCCTTCTCCCAAGGTTTATGAACACATCGATGTTATTTTCCTGTTCTCATCACCTAAGGGAAAAGATAATAAAAGAAATTAAGGAAGTTTCTACACATTTATTTTACTTCTCTTGTTTTTATCCTTATGGACCACTTAAAATACAATTGACTCTATAGACTGAGACGTTTTAATCCCCAGGTAAGTGTATAGGAATATTTTCCTGGGAATTAATTCAGAAAAGCAGAACTTTTGAATTTCTTAGGTATCTAAAAGTTGTAGGTCAGAGGTTCCAGCTGATCGGGTTCCCTTAGGAGGACCTGCGATGAGTGGCGTGCAGGACTTGAGCCACCCCATGCAGAGTGGAGACACACAGCTGCAGACACACCGTCCCTGGCCAGATCCAGACCCACTCGTGCTGTGATGACAGCTTGTGTGTCCTGAGTCACTTCTGGAATCCAGTGACCTTGCCTCTGCTGGCCCTGTCCTCCACCTCCCTGGGTTTTAGGTCTTGGTGGCAACGGAGCTCAATAGAAGGAACTGTGGGGTGCTGCACAGATCCTGAGGTGAGAACACAAGATCCTTCCCACCCAGACGGGAGCCATGGACAGTACCGACATTCAAAGTCGGGTTAGAGTCTAAAGGTTCATATGAATGCATGCCCAGGAGGCCCGAGGGATGAGGAGCACCAGAGCTGTCTGCGTGGAGGAGGAGGAGTGCACACAGCTTCTCTTCTGGATGAACAGGCACAGGCCAAAGGTAAACAGGGAGACAGGGACCATGCACAGGATGCACATAGTGCTCCCCACGCTCTGCCTGCTCCTGAGCCAGCTGCTCCCTCTGGCTCTCCTGCAGGGGCTGCATTCCAGCCCCTGCTCTGGGCCACCCCTCCTACCTGCCCCCCCTCCTCCACCCCCCTGCACCCAGCCTTTCCTCCTCCTCCCTGGCCACCCGCCCTCTGCCCTCCTTCCTTTCTCCCCCCTGCTCTCCAGGAGGACCCTGCACTCTGCCCCTCCCCTCTACCCATCCCTCTTCCCTCTCCTTCCTTCCTCCCCTGCCCTTCACTCCCCTGTCTCCTGCCCTTCTCAGCCCTCCCCCTCCCCCCTCCTCCCCCCTGCTCCTGCCTCTCTCCCTGGCCCTCCCTCTCCACTCCCTCCCCTCCCTGCCTCTGCTGCTCACAGTCTAGTCTGCAGTAGGTCTCCTGTCTCAGGGATGGCTCTGGGGACTTCCTCCTCCTGGGGATGGTGTCACTGTCCATCCCAGAGCCCACTGGGCACCTTTAACCATCTCTGCAACTCAAGTCGCTCCCCTGGTTCCCAGCTGCGTCCTCCAGAGGTCCCCTGCTCCTCAGATCTGAACTGAGCTTGGACCAAGGAGGAGGAGAAGGGCAGCTGCTCCCCACCCCAGGCAAGGCCTGCCATTGCTTAGCCCTTAGACACTCCTCAGGCTCATCAGAACCAGGTGCCAGCTGCCCGATGGGTTCTCAGTCCACACATGCAGGGCCTAAGAAGGCACCCTGGGACCTGGGGACCTGGAACAGGCCTGGAGAGCAGCTCCTGCCCTCCCCCACCCCTCCACGCTGTGTCTCAGGCCATACATCATCCCTGATGCCTCCTGTCCCCAGGACACTCAGGATGTGTGGCTCTGTGCTCTGCACCCCTTGGAATTCAGGGTAGCTGAAGGCCCACCCCTAGATGAAGACGAGGTCCAGCCCTGAGGCACACATCCCCTCGGGGAGCCAGGGCCCCAGGGCCTCACCTGATAGGGTCCATAAACAACTCAAGATGGCACCTGGCATCTTGCCAGAGGCAGTGGTTTGAGAAGTAACACCAGCGAGCCATTAAGATGATAGAGATTCCTTAATGACTGACTGCTGTGTCTAGATTATGTCAATTATGTTAAGCTGTGTGTAATCATTAAGATGATGATTCCTTATTGGTTGACTGCTATATCTAGTTTGTTAATTAAGATAAGCTGTGTGGAATTAGTTATGTATATATACCCCTCCTGTCCTACAATAAACGGCTCCCACTCCTGCTGTATCAATGCACACAAGTTGCTTGTCACCTCCCGGTTATTTTGCTGCAGCCGGACCGCGGCACTCACCCTCCTGAAGGCTCGAAATGCCATACCCTCAAAGGGAGGGGAGTTTCAGCAGCACTTTGGGAGAAACACACTCCTGAAACCACGGCCCTGGGAAACCAAGGGACTCGGTCTCCCCTGCACCTGCCCTTCACGAGAGGAGTCCCTGGTGGTGGACTGAACGACCTTAGGCAGGGACTCAGAGATGGGTGAAGACACAGGGTGTTAGACCAGGACGCAAGAAAAGACCACTGACTCCAATTAAAATCAAATTAAAGCAAGCTTATTGTTACGACCGGCTGGGCTACCTTGCCCATCAAAATCGTGGGAGCCAAGGACAGCGGCGAGGCTTCTTTGCGGCCCAGTTTATAGCCCAAAAAGTGACACAAAGGGGGGTTACAGATAACAACACTCTGAGGAGCATAACACAAGTTTACATTTGTGCTGGCCCTGGCATCAGAATTTATGGAGATCTTAGAGACTCAGAAAGGGTCATTATCCAGCCAGGGAAGGCCAGAATTTATGAGGCCTCACTAAGGTTGAGGAAAGGGTTGTGATCTGGTCAGGGAAAACCGGACATGGGTGAGTTCAGGGCATGGGCAGGCATTCCAAGTAGGTTCAGAATTTGCAGTAATTTATAGTAAAGCCGAAATTATCTTTTCATGGGTTTGTGGCGAGATGCCCAATTTTAAGAAAAGATCAGGTTGGGTCTATCAGGGGGTCTCTGGAAAGGCCAGTTCCTGGCAAGTACAAAAGCTGGCCTCACTTTTCTTGTCCATGGGGAAGGGACCAATTCAGACGACTCAGTGGAGGGTCTGCGGTACCAAACCCACCAGGAACACACGGGTGGCTCTGTGACATCAGAGACCCAGGGGAGGGGGTGGGGTCTGCATCTAGTACAGGATGGAAGTGAGGCTGCCCTCCATTCACTTCAGACTGGGATCTCTGACCCACGTCAAAGGGAAACCCCGCGGGGATCACAAAGAAAGGGGGACAGAGCCCACACCCCGAGTCGAAGGGATGGGAATTGAAAGGTTCACTCCAAACACTAGACCCGGAAAACGGCTCCTCCCAGCCAGCCCTCCACTCCTGGGGGCTGGGGGCTCTGGCCACACACCCTCCCCTGCCCACACCTGCGCCCCAGCTCCCCCACCCATAGGTGGTCCTGCTCCCTGCTCAGCAGCCCTGGGGAGCTCAGGGTGGCAGGCTGAAGGGCCCGTCCCCGGGTCAGGACGCTCACAGGGACAGTCCTGCGCAGCCGAAGGCCTAGAGAGGTTAAAGCTTCACCAGGGCAAGAGCCAGGCCCTGGCAGGGACATTCAGAGGAGGGACCAAGCGGCAGCCCCCAAGCCACTCTGGGGGAGGCACCCACAGCTCTACCCTGACTGCCCCCGGGGCCTGCGACACGGTGCCTCCTCGTGCCACTCTGGGTGTCCCCCCAGGATGGGCTTGGGCTTGTGGCTCCTCTGTCCAGGGTTCCCTTCTGAAAGTGGTGACCGGGCACCATCAGTGTCAGGCCAGGCACAAGGTCTGCCTTTCTGCCCCCCACCCAGCCTCCTCCCCTGGGACCACTCTGGGTCACGTGTTGCCCTTGGGGACCTCCGGAGGGCTCCCTGTCACTGCTCCCTTACACCTTCCCCACTGTGACACCACCACCCACTCTCCCACTGTTGCCAGGAGGCGGCCAAGGAACGCAACAGCTGATCCCCACGGAGCACCCAATTTATTCCAAGATCCGTGGGACACGCGAATGGATGAGGAGCTTATCGGGAAGCATCTCTGCCCCAGAGGGTGGGAGAGAGAGCAGAGGAGAGCAGGGCGGGGCACGTGTCCAAGGAGAAGTCCCTGAGGTGGGATCCGGGTGGGGCGCAGGGGCCCACTGGTGTCCGGGTGTCTTCGGGTGTCCTCCTGCCTGAGGGGTCCGGGAGGCGGCGGCCAGGGCAGGTTGCACTTCTCGCTACAGCAGCTGGCCCTCGTGAGGTAGAACCCGGGCCACCTGTCTGTGGACAATGAGAGGGGCTAGGAGTCAGAGTCGCCCGCCCTGTGGTGCCCAGGTGGACCTAACCCTGCTGGCACCCCCCAAGGGCAGAGGGTGTCCATTCATCCTTTGGAGATGACACTCATCAAGGCACACGTGAGACCTAAGGCAGCACCGCTCCACCTACTTGGCTCCGTGGGCGTCTCAGCTGGGCGCTGGCCGGGGAGCCACTCTGTTTTTGAAGAATCTTCTGAGGGCCTGACCTCTGGTGGGGGCAGGTCCCGGGGGGTCCCTGGGTGCTGGTGCTGGTGGCGCGGGCCCTCCAGCTGCGGGAGCCACTCTGTTGGAGCGTCCGGAGCCAGTCCTGGGGGCCTGCCCGCAGCAGCACAGCCTCGCCAGACAGGTGGCCATCCTCCGGACCACTCCCCTCCATCCCCTGGCGGTGTCACGGGTCAGGCCAGGGGTCCTGGAGCCAGCAGGGGGTTGCGCGGTGGAGGAGGAGCTGGGATCCGGTGCCAGGGCCTGGGAGGACCCGGGCAGAGGGGCCGTGGGGCCGGGAGCAGGGACGCTGGCCGACAGGCTGCACAGCATGATGGCGGGCAGGCTGGCTCTCCTGCTGCCCACCTGCCCTGAAGGCTTGAGCTCCTCAGGCTGCTGCTGCTGCTGCTGCTGCTGCTGCTGCTGCTGCTGCTGCTCACAGGCCGAGAGGGGCCAGGAGCGCATGGCCGGCCTGCTGACGCCCCACCTTGGGCCCAGAGTCAAGTTGGAGGGGATGCAAAGGGACGGGCAAGGCCCCACCTGTGGCCACCCAGGCATCTGCAGCCGCACCTGGCAGCCCGCCCCCCGGGTTTTCTGGTGGCCCAGCAGGAGGTAGGTGGCCATGGCCTGGTTGAACTGGCGCGTCGCCACCGACACCCAGGTCTCCTGCAGCCCGTAGCCCAGGTCCAGCATGGCCAGCAGGATGGAGGTGTCCGCGCGCTTGGGGAGCAGCTCGGCGGGAGGACTCGGGCAGCGTTCCCCATCCTGGCTCAGCCACGGGTGCCCCAGGATCTGCTGGAGCGTGGGCCTGTGCGCGGGCTCCAGGGTCAGCATCCAGGACACCAGGCTTTGCGCCTCGTCGGACAGGTGGAACGGGAGGTGGTACCTGGCCTGCAGCACCTGCTCCTTGGCCTGCTCATAGCTGGCCCCGGTGAACGGGACGCTGCCCGTGAGCATGAGGATCAGGAGGACACCCAGGCTCCAGACGTCCACCGCGGGGCCGTCGTAGGGCTCTCGCCGGTGCAGCTCCGGGGCCCAGTAGGCCACGGTGCCGCAGAGCAGGCCCAGCTTCTCTCCGGCCCTGAACCTGCAGGCCAGGCCGAAGTCGCACAGCTTGGCGCGGCCCGCGGCATCCAGCAGCACGTTTTCCGCCTTCACGTCCCGGTGCGCGATGCCCTGCGCGTGGCAGTAGCCCACGGCGCTGGCCACCTGCCCGAACAGCACGCGGGCCTCGTCCTCCCACAGGCCCACAACCTCCGGGATGTGCTGGCCCAGCTGGCCCCCAGCCATGTGCTCCATCACCACGTAGGCAGTGCCGGGGGTCTCCACGATCTCCAGCAGCTGCACCACGTGCGGGTGCTCCAAGCCCTTCAGGATGTCCAGCTCCGACAAGACCCAGGACAAGGTGGCCCCCGCCCCCTTCCGCAGGACTTTCACGGCCACCTTCGTCCCCGTCAGGATGTGTCGGGCCAGGAAGACCTTGGCAAAGCTGCCCTGCCCGACGACCCCCAGGGGCTCATAGCGGCCCGTGAGGGCTTCCTCCAAGGAGGAGCTGGCCGCGAGGTCCCGACGCACCCTCCGCACCACACTACGCTCACTGCTCTCTCTGGACATCCTCCGCCCCACGCCCACTAAGCCCGCTAGCTAAAAACAAACACAACAAACAAAGCAAAGAACACAAGCAAAACTAACACAACAAAGCCCAACAGAAAGCCCCAAATCAGAGAACCAACCTGAGACCGCAACCAGAACCACCAAACCACCAACCACCAAACGCGCTAACTATGGGAGTCCCACAGGTCACTGCCTAGAGCTTCCTGTGCTTGTGGACAAGGTGCCAGCCTCGACCCGGCCTTATATCCCCGCTGGCTCAAGGGCCTCACAATGCTGGCCCCTGTGAGGTCACAGCCAGGAGTGGCCCACTCACACCTGGGGGTGGCCCACGGTGGCATCTCCCACTCGGGCCTCCGGGACCTTGGCCACCTTCCTGGTCAGAACAAGGAGGGTCTGTGGAACCTCGGTGCTCCCGTGTGTTCGGGACCCCGACCTCTCCTTGCTGAGAAAGGAGGAGCTGGACCAGGCCCCGGGGCCCGTGCCTCGCCAGTACACAACTCTGTCGTGGCTTTCGCCCCGTGAAGACCCCACCCCAGGTCCTCTGGAGCCATTCAGCGCCCGTCTCCTCCAACTCGGACAGACTGGTGTCCAGAGCGTGGTAGCAGTCCCCTCACGCCAGGACGCTAGTGCGGGTCGCTCTGCCCCCTGAGATCCAGGGCCACGTTCCCGACCTCTGTGGGGTGTGGGGGCCAGGGCAGGGTGCCTGCCTCATCATTGCCACACAAGGTCCTATCAGGTCACTCACCAAAACCCTCCCTACAGCCCACAGGAGAGACGGTGGGTCGCCTTCCAGCGATGAAGACCGAACCTTCCAGCTGAGAACCCTAGGGCCAGAGGTGCCCTTCCTGGGGTGCAGAGAGATGGAGGCGTCCCTGTCACCCAGGTCCCTTCCCCTGCTCTGTCCATAGAGCCTGAGCTGGCTGTTTGGGAACCTCACAGACTGACTGCTCCCCCCTCTGGGACCTGAGGCGTCCACGTGTCAGGCACCAGGAGGCCGGGTGTCCAGGGAGGTCTCGCTCTCTCCTTCCAGCGAGGGACCTTGTAGCCGTGTCCCACACCACATGGCTGAAAGGCCGAGGACTGGGCTCCTTCAGTCCCTTTCCCTGCTCTCCTCCCTTCTATCCTCCTTGGTCATAGTCATGGAGGCCCCAAGGTCACGCATGTGAGGCCAGCGCTCGACTCCCGAGCCACTTTCCCAGCCCTTTCTAGTGTCTTTGACGAAGGATCTCACACACTTGCCTGGGCAGGTCTTGAACTGCCAATGCCCACTGGGCTTCTATCTCCCCAAAAATACTGTCTGAATCCCGTGAGAACTCAAGGGGAACTCAGGCAGCAGGATACGCCCTATTCCCAGCAGGAATAACCTTAAACCTGGAACCGCCCTAAACCCACGGAGAGCCCTAAACCCGGATCCGCCCTGGTCCTTGAGCAAGGTCACCTTTCTCAAACATACATGCAATGTCACTGCAAATGTCCAAAGCAAGTCCATTTCCACGAGTCCTTCCTCTAAGCAACATGGGGTACGCTGGCAAGGAAATTGTCATACCTACTTGGCTAATGGCTCCCAGCAAGACTTGTCCCTGGGATGCAAGAGTATGTATATCAGTAATATGATACACCCATTAACAATGGAATATAAAAGTCATACATCATCTGAATAGATGCTGAAAAAGTATTTGACCAAATGCAACATCACTTCATGATAAAAACTTTCAACAAGTAGATTATAGAAGGAATGTACCTCAGAATGACAGAGTCATATATGACAAACCCATAGTAATATTATGTGCAATCTTTAAAAGCTGAAAGATTTCTCTCTAGGATCAGAAACAAAACAAGAATGCTTATTCTCACAGCTTCTATTTAATAGAATGCTAAAAGTCTTTGCCAGAGCAATTAGACTGGAAAAATCAATACATCCCATCTAAATCAAAAAGGAAGATGTTTAATTGTCTCTGTTTATAGATGACTTGAATATGTATGTGTGTTTGTGTATACATCCAAAGATATCACTAAAAATCTGTTAGAAACAAATTCATCACAGTTTCAAGATACAAAATTAACAATAAAAATCAGTAGCATCTCTACACTCTAGTAAAAAGTATCCAAAAATGAGAGAAACTCATTTACAAAAGCTACCTAGGAATAATTTAATTAAGATAGTTAAAGTTCTGTACACTGAAAACTGTAAAACATCCATGAAAGAAATTGATAAATGGAAAGATAGCCCAGGTTCATGGATTAGAAGAATTCATATTGTTATAAAATGCCCATATTACCCAAAATGACTTATAGATTCAATGTGATCCCTATTTAGAAATTCAATGACATTTTTGACAGAAATAGAAAAAGCAATTCTAATTCCAAAATATCCTAAATAACTAAAGTAATTTTAAGTGAAAAGAATAAAGCTGGAGGTATCACACTACTGATTTCAAAATATACAACACAATTATATTAATCAAAATAGTACCATATGGCATTAAGATACAAAGATAAATCAGAGTGGAGAGGCTAAAACCAAGTAATCAGTTACGACCACTTGATCTTCAATAAAAATGCTAAGTTTACATGATAGGGGAAGGATCACATCTTGGATACATAGTTTTGGGAAAACCTGAATATCCATGGAAGAATGAGATCAGACTGCCATTTCACACCATGTGTAAAAAATGAACTAAAAATGAATTAAAAATTTAAACATAAGTCCTAAAACCATAAAACTACTAGAAAAACACATAGGGAAAAATTTTTTTACATAGGTCTGGCCAGTGATTTTTTTTATATAGCCACCCCCCCCCCCAAAAAAAAGCACAGGCAACAAAAGCAAGTGTACAAATGTACACAGTGGAACTGCATCAAACGGCAGTTCACAGCCAGAGAGAGAACCACCGGCGGGGGGAGAGACAGCACAGGGGACGGAGAAAACATTCGCAAAGGACCTGAAGACATTTCTCAAAGGAAGACTTACAAATGGCCTAAGATAAGTGACCAACATCCTTAGTCATCAGAGAAATGCAAATCAAACAAAACAAGACATCGACTTACATTGTTAAAATGGCTAGTATGAAGGAAATAAAGATTGCAACTGTTGGCAGGGTGTGGAGCACAGAAAACCCAGTACCATATTGGAGGGAATGTGAGTTAATGCAGCTATTGTGGAAAACAACATGGAAGTTTCTAGAAAGAATAAAAATAGAACTGCAGCCCTCCCAGGCTGCCTGAAGGACTGTTCACCGCAGCTGAACCAGGTCATCCACCTACGTGTCCATCAGCTGGTGAATGAGGAAGAACACCACACACACACACACACATACACACACACACACCCTGAAATACTGCTCATCCAGAAGAAGTGAATCCAGGTGACCCTGGAGAACAGTGCACTAAGTGAGATATGTCAGGCACAGAAAGAGAAGTACTGATGACTTCACATATATGGAATCTAAAAAATTGGAACTCATCGAATAAAAGAGTAGGATGGCTGTCAGCAGGGGCTGGGGTCGGGGGGCAAGGAGGGGATTGAAGGAGTTGTTGAAGGGTGCAAAGCTCCAGCAGGAGAGGATGGATGGGTTCTGGGGGACGGCGGCCCCTCATGTTGACAATGGTAAGCAATGAGGTGTTGTTCACTGCAGAACCACTAGGAGTTTGGGCCTGAAGTCCTCACCACAAACCATGCACGTGTGAGGTGAGCAGTGCATCATTCAGTTCCATTTGAGGGTTGTGCAATGCATACACATGTTCAGACCTCATGCTACACTCTACAAATATGTGCAATTAATACCCCAATCAAGCTGGGAGGAGGCCTGAGTAGAAAGCAACACAATGATGAAGGAGTAATATGAAGTTAATCTTGATCTATTTCAGTGTGGTCTTAGAAGTTCAGGGTATATCTATGGAAGGTTCCAAAGAATGCAATGTCAGAAATGTTTCCAGGCTTGCAATACTTGCCTGAGGTGCTTTCAGCTGGAGAGACTCTCACATCAGAATCACCCATTGAACATAAAGGCAGACTTTTCATGGACATCTGGATGAGCTCTGTAATACTGACGGATAGATCTGTTGGATACTCCCATGAGAATGCAGGAGGTAGTGACCAGCATGCACATCAACCAGCAGAGATTAAGATGGTTTAAAGTACACACTTTTCCAAGCAAATACAGAAGAAAATCCAAATGCATTATATTATATGCAACTAAGTTGAGCAAGAGCATGTAGGAGAAAAAAATGAAATGATGGCTTTCAGTGGATTGCAGCTTTAGTTACAATATATGCAAACAGGGCCTGGGAAGTTGCTGTGGTTTGGAGCACAAAGCCCTTGATCCCTGGGGGACCTTGAGCTGGGAGTGATGGCTCTTTCAGACCTGGAACGGAATTCTTCCCCGTGACTGTGGGGCTCTTGCGTGCACATGGTAAGGGTGCACCTGTGGGTGCTGGCCCGGTACTGCAGCTTCAAAGGTGTTAAGTGGAGCCTGATCTGGAGGGAAGTGGGCAGCTGCAAAGGTTTTTAAAAGTGAAATAATAACTTGCTCATAATTAAAAGATCTGTGGGAGGACTTGATGGCATCTGTGGTCCCCAGGCAGGGGATCTGAGGGGCGGGACAGGCACAGGAGAAACTTGGTTTTGGGGGTGTGTCCATTTGCAATTGTTGGATTTTATTCAAAATTAATATATAACCTATTTAAAACAAGACTGCTTGGGTGGACACATGGTGAGTGGGAGAGCCACCTTCCTAAACACGGAGACACACGCTAGAGGTTCAGGGAGGAGCGGATGGTGGGACAGAGGGAAGACAAGTGCCATAAAGATGTAACACCATTGAACCTGAGTGGTTTAAAAGAAGCTGAGGCTCCAAAGAGATCTTGGTCTCCTTTAGCTGAGTTAGACATGGCTTCATCAGAGCGAGGGTGCAGAACAGAAGGGTACAGAAGAGACACTGAGGAACTTCCAAGAGCTTGAAGTACAGAGTCAGCCTGTCTGAATGCTTTCAAGGTGGCCAGATCTGTAAGATCAAGCACATTTTCAAAACAGTGTCTGTCTGTTGGCTTCTCCTGGTCTGGACTGGGTGCACTTTGGGTGCTGTGGAGACGCTGGTAGCTGCAGCCCCCTAGGGGGTGCACAAGAACAAGCCCACTATCCTGCTGAATGAGTAAGGTGAGGAAGAAAGTGCCTGTGGAACCCTGGACCCCGTGTGCTCTGCTTCGTCTCCACTGAGCATGGACACGCTAATGGCTTTTCTTATCTGTGATAAGGCCCTCAACACTATTGAGACACAGAAGAAGGTCAGGTAACTCTTGGTTCATCAGCCAGTGCTCTCTGAGCCCAAGGAGTGGTTGAGTGGCAGAGAATTGGGGCCCCAACTGCAAACTCCACTCCTGGAGATGTGTGGCCTTTGAAAGTGCATGGGGGTCCTACAACCAATGAAGGTTTAAACTGCCTACAAGAAAACATTCATCAGTTTTATCTGTTTTATGTGTTGTGGTTCCAGGTAAGATCTTATATTTTTCTATCTATAATTCCAGCTTGAAAACACACATCATTGAAATGCATTCCTGGCATTGCGAGACGGGGAGGTCCTGAGCCAGGCTGAGGGTGCCCCACACGGGGGATGAGAAGTGGGTTGCTTGGCAACCATAACAGGTGTGACGAGAAGAGCCCTGTGGAGGAGGCAGGACAGGTGGCTTCTCCATGTCCCTATGACAAGATGGGAGAGTGGCCACCAAGTGCACGATGACCCTAAGATGTGACTGGCAGAGTGACCAGGCGCAGTGAGTTAGTGATCCTGGTGCCCTGTCTCCTGGAACCTGCTTTTCCTCATCTGTTAGATGAGTGGATTGAAAAAAGATGACCCTCACTGTGCAGCCCTTGCCAGTTAGGTGCTGAACACTTTCGAAGGTCAAACCACACTCTGTTTATGAAATATTTATTTATTTGTGCAATGTGATTAATTGTCTTGGACAGTTAAAAAGTGTTCCACTTGATGTGAAGCTATAAACTGGACTGGAAAACTCACTTCAATTGGTAAATGGCTAGTCATCCAGCACAGCGTGCTCTTCAATCTAATCCTGGACAAATAACTTCAACGTAAACGTTACCAAGTGTAAATACGCGCGTGGGCTGAACATGCAGACTTTCCCTCGCCAATCCATTTATTCTGACCCTCTTAAAGATCAGTGCTGATCACCAGAGGATGGCCCTTCTGTCATGATAGGCAGCCTGTGGGGACTTGTGCATCTCTGTGTACCTGGAGATAGAATGTGGTGGGTGGGTCCTGCAGGTCTGACCAGCTTGAACGACCCATTGTGTCTTGGTCAGATTTTTCACTGCTGTGACTAAAGGATCTGACCAGAACAACTGAAAGGAAGAAAAGCTAATCTGAGGGCTCACGGTTTCAGAGGTCTCCGTTCATAGAAGGCAGCTCCATTCCTCAAGGCTCGAGGTGAGGCTGAGCATCATGGCGGGAGAGTGTGGCAGAGGGAAGCAGCTCACATCATGGTGATCCGGAAGCAGAGAGAGACTCTACTTGTGAGATACAAATATATTCCCAAAACCACACCACAATTCCCACCTGCTCCAGCTACACCCCACCACTTCAGTTACCACTCAGTTCTCCCTCTCAGGGGATTAAATCCCTGATTGGGTTCAGACTCTTATAACCCAATCATTTCTCCTGGGAACCTTCTCGCATCGTCTCACATGTGAGTGGACCCCTCACATCCACACCAGAACACGCTGTTGTAGTCGCATGGCAACAGAGCTAAGCAATCAACCACTGCATGCCTTTCCTCCCCACAGAGGTAGGGTTGATCGCATTTCAGAATCCACCACGTAGGGTAAACATGGTCGGGCAGCTCTCATGTTCAATACGACGCGTTTCCGCTGTGCAGGCATGGCTGGCACTGTGGTAACGGCTGGCATGAGAGACACAGTCCCTGTAAACTAGTTCATGAGCATAAAGGTACATAAACAGGCAAAACCACGAATATGACTCACAAAGTGAGGGCGCTGCTGGGGTGCCCAGGCTGGATGCTGGACCCAGGCGCAGTGAGTTAGTGATCCTGGAGGAGGTGTCAACTCAGAGGCCTGGCAGACAGGAGCTGGGTTGCAGAGGGTTTGAGAGGTGGAGTAAGAGCAATGGAGAGTAGGAAAGACACACAGGGGCCCAGCCGCGAGACAGACTATGGCCTGTTGCGGGAACTCAGAGGAGGTTGAGTTCTAGGGGTGCGACCGCATGAGCCCTGGGCAGCCTGTCCAGTGGTTCCCTGCACACTCATAAACATCCAAGACCACTGGACCTGGTCCTACAAGCACTAGAGCGCTGATGTAGGTAATCGGGGGATAATCAGGTTTGCATTTCTCACGTGTGTTTTCCTTCACTGTGGAAAATGGATCCCCAGAAGCAGGACTGGAGACAGAGTGACTGGCAGGGCGACCACAAGCGCCTGGCTGAAACCCAGGCGAGAAGCCGTGGTGGTCCCAGCCAGGGCAGTGGGAAAGGGAAGGAGAGGAGGGCGTGCCCAGGCTGAAGCCTGCAGACCATGGAGTTTGGTTAACACAGGGAGGAGGCAGAGGGGCAGAGGGAAGGCCTGCACTTCTCGCCTGGGCGACCTGGTGGACAGCACGGCCTTTCCACATACGGAGGAACAAGAAGAAGCAAGGGTTGGGTGGAGGGAGGAAATGAGATGAGCCTCGTTTGGTTTAGGGCGTCCTGTGCTTTGG